ACTCTAATTAATTGTAATTGGTAAAATTACATAGCAATTAATTGACGTCCGGATGGCTGAGCAATTATGTAATTGCAATATGCAATTGCAATTAATTGCACTGCCAATTCTATTTTACCGACCCCTGCTTGCCAGTCGGCTGACGCCTTTGAGCGAGCTCGCGTTCCTCCTCCTCCTCCCTTCCTCCAGTAGTTGTTGACGGACTCTCATAGTTCCCAGCAGCACTTGAACATTGAACATTGTCCATCTCCTCGTTTACATCTTTCAAACCATGGGTACAATATGGTCGATCGGTTTTTGTACGGCGCTCATCTTATGCGCACCAGCTTCTGCCAAGAAGAATGCCCAAGCACCGAACGATTTTTTGCCACATCGCAACCAGTACGATCAATCAAGCCAGCATCGAGCTGATGTGGCTTCAAGTCAATTTCCACCTCCTCCACCTTCCTCGATGCTTCCTAGATTTCCCTCCAACCAAGAGGATTTGAGTGCAAAATTTTCTGCAGACGGTGTATTCGACGGAAATACAGCCTTAGATGATGAAACATGGGGGTTGAAAAGCAGTCGAATCCGGTCTGAAGCGTCAAGATCAAGTGCTCAAGTGTCGCCGAAAACGAGACAAGACTCTTTCGGTACTTCAGATTTGGCAATTCACTATGATTTCCCTGCCGTTGTTGAGACGCAGAATAGCGAGGATAAAGACCTCAGTCAGCAGTTCTCTTCCGCGAGACGTGACAAGATTACAGGCTACATGTCTTCGACAAATGGAAGGATTCAAGTTGTCAGTAGCGCCTCTTTTATTGGCGGTGGAGCTGGGCTTTTTGTTGCAAAGGTAAGTAAAATTTCAAAAAGAACTTGGAATGTCGTAGTGGAAGACCAACGCAACCTCGTTCCCTATTGCATAGTCCATAATTCCGTTCGCAGCAAATCTTATGGGTGTTCTTGGAGCTGCTATTTTCTTTGTTGGGTCATTCTTTCGGACACCATTTGGAGAGCTAGTTCGAGCTTTGGGCTTGAGTTTGATTTTGGTGCTCCAGCGGACGTCGAATGTGCGAAAAAAGTACCCAACATGGAGGTATGTAAAAGCAGCGACAGGTTTGACACAGCGAAATTTGCGGCCTTTCCCACCCTCTCGTAACCTTTGGGCATATGAACCCAGAAGGCCTGGTGATGTGAATTTTTCAATGCTTTATTCACTTTTGGCAATGTCATTTATTGGCAGTTTCTGTGGAGGGAGCATCCCAATCATTCCAACCTGGATAGGCTCATTAGCTGGTACAGGAATGTGTGCTTTTCTTTGCACCCTTTCATCGGCAAAGGGTGACCTATGCCGTACGATGGGAATGCGTATTGTAGCTCTTCTCCAAGAGCTGTGGCATATTCAGACTGAACTCAGAATTATTCCAAAGGCAGCAGTTGTTACGAGCCAGGTTATTGACAAGATGATGCTGTTTGACCGACAGCATAGGATCAAAGACAGATTTCTTTCACTTGCTACCCGAGCTTACGAGAAAATCACGTCAGAAATTCAAGATGACGGAGGCAGTCCCAGATCGTCTCCACCGACTAGCCGTCGTGAAGACGATTTAGGGAACTAGACTATTCTGGTGTCTGTAGGCACAATGCCAGCGAGTTGAAGTGAGGCATGGGTTTCGTCGTGGTATTGGAACTGGAGCAGCCGATGCTTGAGTTCCGCTCTGCTTATCATCATATAATTCTGAATTCACAATGAGGACTGCTCAGCCCTGCTCATCAATGAATGAAACGAACGCAGATGAATGAAAGGGAAGGAATGGTACCCTGAAAAAAATGAACCTAGTTTTATGAAGATCCTGCCATACTCTCCATCGCTGTCAACATCAACGAAAACTCCCAGCTTGCATCCTCGTCACCACCTCCGCTTCCGATCCAAGTTTTTGACATATCAAAAATATTGTCCTCCCTCAGATCCTTAAATGGAGTTTCATCGAGCAAACTATCAGAATCATTTATATCTGCATTGATTTGAGCAATCAAAGCAGGGAAACTATCGAATTTTCGTTCTGACCTGAGGAATCCTACAAGCTTGAGCGTCAAGGCAGAACCGTAGAAATCGTCAAGCTCTTCACCGTTCTTCAAAATCAAATGGGCTTCGATGATTTTTTCCTTGTTTTCGGTACCTTCAAAGGTAGGAGAATACCCAACATTAACAACTGCTTTGAACGTCTTCCCGGGATGACCCCCGATTGCCGCCCAACCAAAGTACACTCCAGTGCCAACATCTCCAAGTGCCTGCTGGAAAAGGCTAGAAGGAAGGTTTGCGGTTGGGACTCCTAGTTTTTTTCCACCACGCCCGTATCCGTTACTGACTGCTCCCTTGTATCGATGAATGTATTCCAGATCAACCCCACGGCGTTTCTCTAGTGCAACAAAGTAATACGAGTCATTTACCAGTTTTGACAGCTTTAGTGGCAGCTGATGAATCACCATCGCAACTTCTATCGAGTTTTGGGGCAATGACCTCGAATCATTCGAATCTACGCCCTCCGCTTTGTAGATTAATATCTTTTCGATGCCATGGTCCAGTGTCTCCACCAAAATATCACGCAGCTCGAAGCTCTGATCTACAATCCAGGAATTGAGTAAAGCGCAATCAAATTTCGAAGATTTGTCCAAGCTTTGAATATGGTGCAAAATGCTAGATTGCACTACGTCGATTTCGTGGTTGGAATCGCTGTGACTCTGAAGCAGCTGCGAAGATCTCTTTGAAGCCCCTTTCGCCAACTTGTGAGAATCTAAAACTCCTGTGATTTGTAAGTCCAATGATGATTTTTCAGCTTCTTCAATAAGCTTCTCCCACAACATGCGGGTTCCACAGCCCAGGTCGAGGATACTAACGTTTGAAAACTTTTCTTTGTGTGGAAGGTTGCGGAAAATTTCAGAGGCAAGTGATTCCATTGATTCACTATCAACATCTGACTCGTCTCGAAGGTCATCATAATCTTGCGAGCTGTTTTTGATTGCCAACAGATTTCCAGGCTTTGTGTTGATGTAGGCGGGACTAGAGGGATTGAATCCTTTGCAGCAAAGAATTGAAGCGCAAAGGATTTGAATGAACAGCCCAGAGACTGGAAACTGGAAACGCTGCATACTTGGTAAAGATTGATTGCAGATTCTGCTGGAACAGTTGAGGGATACCTGCGATTTCATTTTCAAAGCTAACGAATTTAATAAAAGCCGTGAACATTGATAGTGCGCGCAAATGAAGGCTACCGTGCTATTGCGCACGCATGCAATGGTTCGTGTCTTTAAGGTGCGATATTATCGAACCCCTTTTCGCGTGCAGCGTGCAGCGTGCATTGCATTTTGATTTTTTTGCTGCAGAATGCATGCTTGTTTCCGTTTCGATAATACGAAATTCAAAAATTGGCCTGCATGCATTGTAGTAGTCGCATAGGTCAAACGGCTCATTACTCGTATACTATACTAATTTATAAATTCAACGTGTTGTGAAACGGTATTTTCATACTTTTCATTGATACCATCGTTTTTTCGGGCATAGTCACCGCCACGGTCTGAATATCCAAGCAATTTGCGGCGAAACTTCGATTCATTTACTTCACTGTGGCTGCTCCAGGATCGACTGGCGATGCCAGAGCATTCAAACGTTGTGAAGAGCTTTTGCAGTGGATCACAGATTTGCCGAAGGAATGTTTATTGGGGGCGACAATGCTTATCCGCTTTCCGATTATCTAGTTGTCCCCTTCAGCGGTGTATACAGATTTGACGAAGACAAAAGAATCCTCAACTTCTTTCTGTCACAGCTTCGTATTCGAATCGAAATGGCCTTTGGTCGCTTGACAACAAAATGTCGTATCTTTCGCAGCAATCTAAACTTCTCCCTGGAAAAGAATATCCGTATTTGCAATGTCGCTTCACGCCTTCACAATTTTGTGATTGACCAGCAAGAAACTGAAGATCTAGGAAGTCTAGAAGGGACAGAGACCACGGATCAACTTAGAACCATGGGTGGAATTGAACAATTTTCAGATCCTCGGTCTCCCGAGAATCTTGGTTTTCCACCCAACCACGAACATCCAGAACAACTTGCAGAAAGGCCTCCTCAGAATAATCAACAGGATGAAGGAACGGACGACTTAATGGATGGAGCGATGGATGACTTAATGGAGGATGAAACATCAGTCATCTACATCAATTTAAGCAGGCGCGATTCTATTTTGGACTATATCCAGGATTTGGAACTAGAACGTCCAGATAAGAATCGATCAAGAAACGACAATTAAAATAGTAAAATGTTTAGCAATTCAAATGATACTACTATCTACTACTCAGCAATGGTTATTGAAATCGACTACTACTAGTCGGAGTCCGAGTCGAAGTTCACACATTTTTCATACGTACTTTCAAAGTAGGATGCAGAATGATGTTAGATTCAATTGGCTTTATAGTCCAATTGCAAGAAGATTCCAACTTACCATTGTTTCTAGCGTTCTGTTTGCTTTTGCAGTTTGATATTCTTGTACTTTGGTAGCAATGAATTCACAATAATCTCCTTTCTTCATGTCTGCTTTCTTCATTTCTGTAGGCGATCCGAGATTCAGTCTTGATACCCCCACCAATTTCCGCAAGAGGTCAACAGGAATGTCTTTGATCACAACACCAGCAACAGACCGAAGTCTGGTCAGCCTGTCCCGTGCCTTGGTGAACCGGTTTATCGCAACCTGATCTATGACAATGTCGTCGAAAGTAGCCGCTTCGGGTTTTGCTTGCAAAGACATTGTTGCTGTCGTTGCCTCAATTCCTGTAGTAGCTGTAGCTGCTGTTGTAGTTGTAGTTGATGTTGGTGTTGCTACTTGTCGAACTCCCACGTCGTGTGTTGCCAGAACGTCGCTTCCGCCGCATTCCTTGGAACAGTACCAGTGACCGTCTTCCTTGCTAATTGACATCAACATATTTTCCTGTACACACAAGTTGTGGACTCCGCATTTACATTGAATGCAAGCATGATTCGGATTGAGAGAGTCATATTTGCAGTTTCGGATGCTGCAAAAGCCATTTGAATGTGATACTGCAACTTTGGCCCAAACTCTTCTACCGACTAATTTGGCAGCAGTATTTTCCTTGGCCACCGGGTGGTAATGTTTTCGCGCTGTAATTCTGTTTGTTCAAACCAATGTCGTAATGAAGGTTATCATCGTCCTCGCTATCAGAGTCTAATGGAAGAATTGACAAGGCATTCGTCATGATACACTAGTGAAAAGAGCAGAAGATCAAGTGCAATGGAGTCTTTTCTTATTATTTTGATGTGAATTGTGAGTCGAGGTCTTCGAAACGCTATTGAGAATTGGCCAATCAAAATCATTCAATTTCAAAATGCAGGATGGATGCAGATTCCTGCAGCTCGCGGCAAAATGCATGCAGCCTGTAGGGGTACCCGGAAGTGGATTCTGCATGCTGCAAATCCGCGTGCAGGCTGCACGTTTTTTTTTCCGATAAGTTCGCTTCTAAGTGAACGGGATCGGCCTTCGCGGAAGCCTGTCGATGAAACGACGATAACAACACTCTTTTTAGTAAGAATACGATTTGATCTACATTACTATCTTTAACTTCTACTACTTCGTAAGTCAACACTCTCGTAATAACGTAACGATTACATTTATATGGTTTATCTCCAGCAATAACTGCCAAAAGTTATCCGACGAACGAAACGAAAATGAATATGTTTGAAATGTATTGAAATGTATTGAAATGTATTGAAATGTATTGAAATGTATTGAAATGTATTGAAATGTATTGAAATGTATTGAAATGTATTGAAATGTATTGAAATGTATTGAAATGTATTGAAATGTATTGAAATACAATGCCATCAAACGTTATGAACGTAATAATGAAAATCGTAAATGCGAAATGACATCGAATGTTATGAACATTATGATGAACGGTGCTGAGCAACACCAACGAAAAGTGTCACGAATGATGGTGCTGAGCAACACCAACGAAAACTGCCACAAATGGTGCTGAGCAACACCAACGAAAACTGCCACGAATGGTGTTGAGCAACACCAACGAAAACTGCCACGAATGGTGCTGAACAACACCAACGAAAACTGTTACAAATGGTGCTGAACAACACCAATGAAAACTGTTATGAATAAAAGAAATGTGAACTAACAATTTGATGTATGACATTGATACAGGCAACATGGCCGCCGTTCCTCCTTTCTTCACTGTACATGACGACATGGTTATCTGTGGCATTGACAATTTCACCCTTTTCCAAGGACGCACACAAGCCGAGAGAATTGCTTACGAAATATTCTCGGACGATTTCACCACAACGATGGACAGCACCATTGACGAACTAAACGAAGAGTTCAAGACCCTCGCAGGATTGACGATTGCGCAAGGACAGATACGCTTGATGCCAGCTATCAAAAAGAACATCCGCGCATTCATCCAATGGTGCAGAGACGAGATTCGCATGGGACGAGACCCTACCACAACACCATTCCCCGTCGTTGATGCAGCCAAACTGCTCAGACGCATGAAAACACACGAACAATACGTGTATGGCTCCAAGTTGATGTCGCAACAAGCCCTACCGCAAGATTTCACCAACGATGTCCAATGGGAAGATTGGTGCCCAACATTCGAAAATTACCTTCGCACCATACCAGGAAGAGAAGGTGTGCCACTGAGCTACATTGTGAGAATGAACGATGCAGGAATGCTCACCCTGCACAAAGATTTCTTGGAAATCTACATCAACATGGCACCACACATTGGCAAAGCATACGTCATGGATAACGCCAAAGTACTAGTCCTTCTCAGCAAGTTTATCGTGGGGAATACCGAAGCTGAAGCGACCCTCCAAGACATTGCAGGCAATGGAAGAGAAGCATTCAACGCACTACATACCCACTATGAAAGCGAAGGGATACTAGCCCGCGACATTGTCGAAGCTGAACAAACCATCAAAGAACTGTGTAACGTCGGTGAAAAACCAAAAATGAACTGGTCCATGTTTGAACGAATGCTAAAGAAAGCGTATGCAGCATGCGACAAACATGAGGGGAGAGAAGTCCATTCAGACGCAATGAAACTGCGTAGCCTACAAAGCAAGGAGGTTACAGCACCATTTCTACAACTGAACAAGACGGCAATTGATACGGAAATTGGCAAAAGACCGATGTTGATGACTTTCACGACGGCATTACGAATCTACCGAACTGCAGTGAGAGAAAAGTTCCCCCAAGGAACCAGCAATGCAACCGATAGGGGACGATACTTGAGCGAAACTACAGCTGACAACGATCGCGACAGAAGCAGGAGCCGAAACGATGGGGGAGGCAACAAACGTCGCGACGAAGAAGAAATTACTCTGAGTAATGGAGAGAAGATCTGGTACCATCCTAGCTACCGTTTCTCTCCAACACACCTACGAGCGTTTACCAACAAACAACGTGAACGCATGGCGAAGGAAAGAGCCGCATACAGAGAAAGTCAAGGATTGCCAGCAAGAAGAACAACAAGACAGGCCACACAAACACAACAAGTGGAAACGCAGCTGGCGGAATTGCGAGCCGAAGTAGCATCGATTAGATCCAACAACGTACCTGCTACAATTCCAGCCGAAGCAGCCACGCAGATATCACAAGTGACTATGGGAACGGCTGGAACTACAGCAATGGGCGGACGCAACCAACAGGCAAACAACTAACAGGCAAGCGGTAGGACCTGAAACGCGATAAGTGAAATCAGACGAATCGTAAGGGTGATCTCATCCAACACAGCCGCATCCCAGCGACCAGTGCAACAACCAACACCAGGAACGACGGCGAGCAATGAAATGGATGCTAACGCCGACACTTGTTGCCTTGGCAAGAACTTTGTTATCATGAGCTACACACCAAGATCGGCGGATGTGTACGCGTACGACCCAGCTCTACCACCAACCAATGTACCAATTGTATCTGGAGCGACCGCTTATGACTGCCCACAGAGCGGCAACACGTTCATATTGATATTCAACGAAGCACTTTACTATGGGAACCGGTTAGATCATTCATTGATCAACCCAAATCAAGTCCGCAAGTTCGGAATTCCCCTATGGGATAATCCGTTTGATGAGATGAGGAATATTGGCATCGAGACCAAGCCGATATTTGTTGCACTCAAGGCAAAGGGGACAAAGTTACTATTTGATTTAAGGGCCCCAACTGATCAAGAACTCGCAAATCGCCCCCACATTGATATGACGAGCAAAGTGCCTTGGAACCCAGGTACCGTACAACTTGGGAAAGTCTCAATCGTCCACAAAGACCCAATAGATGACCCAAGATCCAACGAAGCTGAATTGAGACAATTGGATCCAATCATGCAAGAAATGAACGAATGGCGCACGGTACAGCAGACAATAGTCGATGGGGAGAGATTCTTCCAACAAGTTGGACGAATGGACGATGATGCACGATTCGCAGACGTACCTGTGAGGCCGTCCTTTGTATCCACGGAACGACACACCAAAGCAACGGCAGAGAAGCTATCTGAACGACTGGGAATTGGTTTGCACAGAGCACGAGCCACCTTGAGATCGACACTACAAAGGGGAACGCGATCCGCCATACTACCACTGGCAAGGAGGTACCAAGCGGACTGCATGTTCCTAAGACCAAGACTGAAAGGCAAGTTCTCAACCGACACGGCCTATTTCAACCACAAGTCAATACAAGGCAACATTGCAAACCAGATCTATTTCCACAAGAGCGGTTTCTACAGTTGCCATCATCTCTCAAAAGTGGACGACAAGCAAGTTGGGCCGACCCTCAAGAAATTCATAGCTGACTACGGTATACCAGAGCACCTCACGATGGACGGAGCAGCGGTACAAGTGGGACGCAACACGAGCTTTATAGAAACAATCAACAGAGCCGCGATTAACTACCACATCTCCAGACCATACCAACCGGAAGAAAACCCAGCCAAAGGGGGAATCAGAGAGCTCAAACAACGATTCTACAGATTGATAGTCAAGCATGCGATACCAGAACGGCTATGGAACTTTGTGCTTGATCGTGTGGTTGATACCATGAACATCACCGCCAACTACTCAAGATATTCTGACGGACGAGTACCGCTTGAAGTGATCACTGGCATCACGCCGGACATTACAGAATACATGGACTTTACGATCTATGGATAGGTATACTACCGCACAGACGGCGCCCTGGGGACAAACGAAATAGGACGATGGTTGGGAGTGTCACACAGGACGGGTCCAATGATGACGTATTGGATATTACCGAAGAGTGGCCGCCCAATCTCGACTGACACTGTCCAGAAAATCACAGAAACAGAGAAACAGACCGACGTGGTCAAAGAACAAATGGCGCAATGGACAACTGATGTATCCAAAATCCTTGATGCAAGGACAGGAGACATCAGTTGGGGGGAAGATGAGATACCGCCACAATTGATGTTTGACCTCGGATTGGAAGACGAAGAATTCAAATGCAACTTCAACAAGTTGATCAAGGCCGAAGATGTTGACGATGGCACGCTCCAGGGGACCACAGAGACTGACGACATCGACGCACAGAACTATGTCAACATGGAGATTGGCCTAAGACGGGGACAAGAAGGGGAGTTGCAACGTGCAGTTGTACGCAGGAGACTCGTTGATGCAGAAGGAAACCCAATGGGCGTAGCAAACAACAACCAGTTACTCGACACGAGGCAATACGAAGTCGAATACGAAGATGGAAGCACCAAAGTGCTCGCTGCGAACTTGCTAGCAGAGAACTTATTAGCACAAGTGGACGAACATGGACACAGACACTTACTAATGGAGGAGATCACGGAACATTGTTCTGATGAGAAGGCAGTAAAGATGAAAGATGCTTTCTATCCCCTCGCAAGTGGAATGCAACGAAGACGACACACGACAGCA